TGCTTGGCCTGCTGTGTTCATCCAACTCTACACCTTGTTATCTCAGATTCTCCACCATCAGCAGTTCCTACCATTTCTAGATATATTGTCTGCCCACTTTTCAGAATAGATCACCAGCAGGTGTAATTACTTTGACGGCTTGTGCTAAGTCCTTTAAGGATTAGTTCATGCAACTAGAATTTCCAGTTTGGTGCAAGGATTTACTTGCCTCATTTGATGAGACAGTTTCAAAGTCTGTATGGATTTTATAATCAGCATTCCAAGTCTACTGTGAAGTCTTAACCAGTTTGGTCTCTAGTTTTTAGCTGGGGTGCGAGTAGCCTTCGTTGTTAGGGCTTTCTTTTAAGATAATTAAGTGCCCTAATTTATTTTTTCCTAAATTTGAGGTTTGGAAGATATGTGCTCACTGTGGAAAGTTCCTAGGCTTTGTGATCATGTTTCTTGTGAGTAAATTTCCTATTCATTTGAAGTTGTTGTTGCTGTTCATAAAGAAAGAAGACAGTGATACAAACAAGTAACCGATGTATGGTGAATCCAACATGACACTTCAGAAATTATGGCATGCTTCATTGAGCACATATCATTAAATAGGTTTCATGAATTTTATAAGATGTTTATGCTCGTGCAGATAATCTGCTTAATATTGTTGAACTTCATTTACTTAATATTGCCTCCACTTGGACCTCAAAAGAACTTGGTTTTGCCATAATTTTTAAGAGGTTACCAATGCCTGCAAAAGATCACGAGTAGTTTTGGTTATTGAACCATCAACACAAATTAAATACTTCTTTTTATTTTAACAGTCTCGCTTGGTTAGGAGAACATTTCAATAGTGTCACACAATGTTGTGGCATCATGTAACATTTAAGGACTTAGACTCATGCTGGTACTGCAGTACTAAAAAAGCTGCAAGGTTTGAGGTGCGCACCTTCTGATGAGGCATTAAATTTACCAGAGTGTCCCATCCGAGGCTTTGGATGCTGCGAATGGCTTGTGTTCAAAAGAAGAAATCAGCCAGATTGTTTTTCTCATGGTTATCCTGTGACTGGGTGCATGCAGAATGTTGGTACATTTTCTGTATGATAATGATAGCTGCTGGCACCACAAAACAACAGGAGGATTTGATGCTTTTAATGGGAAATGAAGTTGAAGACTTCCTTTTAAAAATAGCTTGGCCTGTAAGTTTGCGGTGAAAGTGGGACTGAATAATCTTGGAAGTGATAATGCTTTATTTGTTTTTCCCTTGTTCAGACATTATCTACTTTGGATTCTACCACATTGATGTATCCTTTCTTTTATCGACCTATGTTTGAGGTTTTGGAAGATGGATGGCACTCCTTCCTTCCTGAGCATGAGTTTACTTTGCTTTCTGCATCAGTGAGTCCAATTTTAATTATTTGCAAGTATGGTGCATGAGTTTATTCCAATTGCTGGTATGGTTTTGGGTTTTGGCCATATTTGGCAAATACGTAAGCAACTTGAAACCAAAAAGGAGCATAGTCTGGAATTTCAACCATCTCCATAACAACTGAGCTAAATTCAGTGTAAATGGTGCTGAGGATACAGAATTTCTAACGCATTCAGGACAACTTTTTTTTTTTCAGTATATAGCAAGCCTAAAAAGAGAGAGAGCATTCTTTCTGAAACAAAAGTTGAATTCAAACCTAGACTTGTGCAAATATCAGAAAATATATATTGTTGGATCAGGAACAAAGAACATTTATTAGATTCCAAGAATTATGTCTTGAAGGAAACTTAGAGGAGTATTGGAAGTACAGGGGGGAAATTAGAAGGGAAAATAGTAAAGCAAAAAGAAGACATAAAAGGAGTACAAGCAAGTGTTACTGAGTAAAATCCTGAAGTATTTTATGATTGAAATGAGGCATTATACTGGATGGGTAGTACAGTGGCACAATGGTTAATACTGGTATTTCACAGCACCAGGGACCCAGGCTCAATTCCAGCCTTGGGTACTTGCCTGTGTGGAGTATACTCGTTCTCCCTGTGTCTGCTTGGGTTTTCACAGCTGCACTGGTTTTTAGTCCAAAGGTGTGCAGTTTGGGTGGATTGGCCATGCTAAATTTCCTTGTAGCTTCCAGGGATGTAGGCTCGGTGGATTAGCCATGGTAAATATGGGATTGCACACTTAGGATGGGGAGTTGGCTCTGGATGGGATGCTCTTCTCAATGAGGCCAAATGGCCTCTATCTGCACTGTAGGGATTCTATGACTATGAATTAGAGACCAAAAAGGTAACTTGAATGTGGAGGCAGTAGACATGACCATGGTTCATGATAAATATTTTCACACAGCGATGGGAAATTAGACATTAAATGTGTGGAAACAGGAGACACTGCTGAAGTATTAAATTAATACTTTGAAACCAACATTAGCAAAGAGGATAATGCTAAGCAGGTCATGGTAAAAGAGAAGGTAATTCAGATTCTTGGAGGATAAAATTGATTAAAGTGGAAATTATTGGATTGACTATACTTGAAGTTGATGAACACTAGGATCAGATGTGTTGCATCCAAGGAGAGTGAGAGCAATAAGTGTGGCAATTGCAGAGATGCTTACCGTAATTCTCTGGTCTTCCTTAGACTGTGGTGGCAGAGGACCAGAGAATTCCAAATGTTAACCCTTATTCAAAAAGAGGTTTAACGATAGGCCCAAAAACTGAAAGTAGTCAGTTTAACGTCAGTGCAAGAATGCTTCTCGAAACAGTAATTTGAGATGAAATTAACAATCACTTGGGCAAATGTAAGTTAATTAAGAAAAGCCAGCATGGTTTTGTGGAGGGCAAATTTTGTTTAACTAAATTGCTGGAATTCTTTTGAAGTGTTGATGTGGATTATGTACACTTTTAAAGGGCTTTTGATAAAGTGCTACACAACAGACTTGTGAGCGAAGTTAAACTTGTGGAATAAAAGGAACATTAGCAACATTGATACAGGAAATAAAAGGAGGGAGGCAATGGATGTTTCTAGGCAAGAGTAATGCTAAAGTAAAGTGCTCCAGGGATCACTGTTGAGTCTTTTGTTCTCTGATATATACGTTAATCTCCTAGATCTTGATGTACAGGGCATAATTTCAAAATTTGTGAGCTGTCTTAAACTTTGAAGTATTTTGAGAAATATTGAACTGCAAAAGGATACAGACGGGTTGGTGGAATAAATGCGTTAGTGGCAGATAAAATTTAAAGGACTAGGGTGTGAAGTCATGTAAGTTTGTAGGATAAACATGAAGGGGCAGTTTCAAATAATTACCTATAATTCTGAATATGTTATTTTGAAGGCTGTGCGGGAGCAGAGGGACCTGGATACATATGTGAATAAATAATTGAAGATGGTGAAACATTTGAGAGCAAGGTTTGTAAAGCACGCAGTATCCAAGGATTTATTTATTGGAAATGGAGTACAGAAACAAAGAGGTTGTGTTAAACTTGTGTCCAACATTGGTTTGGCCTCAACTGGCGTACTGTGTCCAGTTCTGGGTGCCACAGTTCACCCCAGGAAGTATAGAGAGGCATTAGATAGAGCAAGAATGTTTCCAGGAATAAGGAACTTCAGTTAGGAAGATAAATTGGAAGTGTTAGGAAAATTGAAGGGAGATTTTGATGTGTGAGTGCTCAAAGTCATGAAGGATCTGGACAGAGGAGTTTGGGAGAAACTTCTTTAATTGTAGAAAAGTTGAGAATTAGAGGAGACAGACTCAGTGTTTGACAGAAAAAAGTAAGGCAGCATGAAGAAAAGGTTTTTACACAATGAGTTGTTAGGATCTGGATGCACTGCCTCAATGCGTGGTGGCTGTTAATTCATTTAAGGCATTCAAGAGAAAATTGGATTATCTGAAGAAAAATAGACAGGGAGAAGGTTGGGGAGTGGCATGAGGCAAATTGCTCCTTTGGAATGCTAGAACAGACCCAACAGGGTGAATGTGCCCCCTCTGTAACTAATCTGTGATTTGATTATTGGGTGTGATTACAAACATTGGGTTATAGAGGCAATTTCCTTTCTGTTTTTTTTTTAAATATTCACGTTATGATAATTGTAGTTCAATTAAGCAATGGGAAAATAGACCAAACAGCAGTTTAAAAGAATGGAGTTGATAAAAACTAATTAATTCATGTATTATCTAACTATGTAGCATTGATTAGAATTTGAGATATGAAGAATCCTTTAGAAAGAACTTACTTCATTTTGGATGGGGAGTTCCTTTGCTTTGGCTGATTTTTGTTGACTTATTTGCATGTGATTTATAAAATAATTTTGTTATGGAATTTCGAATGAGAGAAAATGACAGCTTGGATTTTCCTAGCGTTTCCTAACAACATACTGTGTCAAGGTAATTTATAAGTGTGTCAAACAAAAATTTGACCTTGAGCTGCATAACTTGTTGTCTTGGTGTTTGACCAAAAGTTTTCCCAGATTGGGTAGGCTTGGAAGAACAAAGCAAGGTAAAGCATCAGATTTAGGGAGGATCTCTAGAACTTTGGGCCTTAGTAGCTGCATAATATTAATCTGAAATCTAAAAAGGAAAATTGCTGTGCAATCAATTTTGCAATTGCAAACATGGGCATTCCCCAAAATCTGGCTGGTATATAAATTACTCCAAGGCATAAGTTGTCATAAACTTGAAACGGTCTATTGGCATGAATATTTTAAAAGCAGCAATTTTTGTTGCAAGTAAGATTTAATCAGCAAGAAAGCCTTTTGAATAATGGAAACAATATTTGCTTTTCTTTCAGACAGATGAATGGAGACTAAGCTATGTTAACAAAGATTTCGCTGTTTGCCCCTCCTATCCTCCTATTGTCATGGTGCCAAAATCAACTGATGATGAAATTTTGAAAAAAGTTGCTACATTTCGTCAAGGTGGTCGCTTTCCTGTCCTCAGCTATTACCATAAAAAGAATGGAATGGTGAGCATAAAAGATGATTGCAGCTTTGACATAGAATAGTCTGATTAATTTCTGTAATCTCCAGCTTGCTGTTAATTTTTATTTTATTTCTGTTGACTTATGCTAAACTTTCCAGGTTTTATGTGTGTCGTAGGGAAGACTGTTTTATCATTAATTTTCTACGTACCTTTCATCATGCTGTAGGTATATTTTTCCAAGTTTCATAAAGATAGGCTGAATGTTTGAATGAAAAATGCATAAATGTAATGCTTGTGTAATTTCTATGCTTGTTCTATAACCAAAGTTTTCCTACACACCCTGTAAATTCTCATGGGGTTGATGAGTTTATCGTGTCATAAATGATTGAACTGTTGAACTTGTAGCTCAGTTTGTGCAAGTTGTTCAAATTAACTGCACACAGCCATGTATTATGCATTTTCTTTCCATTTCTAAAACTCCATTGCATGAACTTCAAAAGTAATTTCTCAAACTGTTAACAAATCAAATGTGACGTGACATTGTTGATCTCGCTTGCAGTGCAGGAAATGGTATGCATCAGAATTTAGTTAAATATGTAACTTGGCAAGAGGGTAGTGAGAAATCTTGAACAAAAACAGAAGTTGCTGGAAAAGCTCAGCAGGTCTGGCAGCATCTGTGAAGGAAAAAATATCAGGTTAGCATTTCGGGCCTGGTGACTCTTCCTCAGAACGAGGAAGTTTTGAGGAAGGGTCACCTGACCTGAAAAGTTAACTCTAATTTTTTTCTTCACAGATGCTGCCAGACCTGCTGAGCCTTTCCAACAACTTTTGTTTTTGTTTCTGATTTACAGCATCCGCAGTTCTTTCAGTTTTTATTTAGTGAGAAATCTTGACCACTAAGTTATGTTCAGACGTACGTGTGACACCATTAATATTTCAAAAAATCTATACAACAGAATTATAGCAGCCCCAACATATTCTCAACAGTTGACAGGAAATTATCCAGCCCAGTCCTGCTTTTTGGTACTTGTCCTGTAGCCTTGTAGGTTACAGCACTTTAAGTGCACATTCAAGTATGTTGTTAAATGTCATTAGGGTTGTGTCTCAAGTATTTGTCTGAGATTTTCTGATCTGCAGCATCCTCTGGGTGAAATGTGCCTCCTAAAATCCCCTCTAAACCTCCAACATCTTACGCTAAATCTGTGCCTGCTGGTAATGGATCCTTTAGCCAAGGGAAACAGGACCTTCCTAACCAATCTATCTTGTCCTCTTTATAACTATGAAGAATTTATCAGGTCTGCTGCCAGCCCCTTCTGTTCCAAAGCAAGTAATCCTATCTTATTCAATCTTTACTCAAACTCAAATTCTGCATTTCAGCCAACGTCCTTGTAAATCCCTTCTGCATCCACGTGTATGCAATCAGTGTTCCTATAGTGCAACAGTCACAGTTGCATACAGTACTTCAGCTGTGGCCTACCCCATGTTTTATACAGTTCCAGCAAAACCTCCCATGTTTTGGATTCTGTTCCTGGACCAGTAAAGACAAGTGTTGTGCATATCTTCGTGTCCGCCTTTTTAGCTACCTGTTCCACTACCTGCTCCACCTTCAGGGATTCGTAGATACGTCATCTAAGGTCCCTCTATTCCATTACACTTGTCAGTATCCTACTATTTATTATGTTTCCTGCCTTGTTGACTACTTCCAAATCCATTTTATCATGCTTTCCTAGATTGAACTCCATTTTGCTACTGTCTCGCTCCTTGATATCTACCTGTAGTCTGTAGCTTTCTGTCATTTTTATATCATCTACAAACTTTTTATCATAGCCTATACACTCAAGCTCAAATCTAAGCAAGGAATCTTATACTGAACCTTGTGGAACTCACACTGAAAGCAACCTTCCGGTCCTACAAGTTCCATTGACCAGTTAGCTTTGCCTCCTGCCTTTTTATTATTTTTACAGTAAAAGTGCAATGAAAATGTTGTTCCAGAATACTGTTTCCAGCTGAAGAGATTTGATGTCATATTTTCATGAATTTTGTGTAAAGTACAATGTAATATCGATGTATAAAATGATCTACCTTACCATGACCTGTGTTTTGATGAGTTGACTGTGGTTATGCTGTTGAGACCCTTCATGGATAATTCTAAAACATGTTTGACGTGGCTGCTTTTAGGTCTTAATATGGTATGATTACTTTCCAAATGTTTTAAAAGTCCCGTTGTGATTTCTGAATCTTGTGGAAAATGGCTATGAATCCACTTATCATAGCTTTCAAGCCAATGACTAAAATTGAAGAAAGAATCCACTTTGATTATATAATCAACACTTCTTGAGTTCAGCTTTTTTAAATGGAATCATGACTGACATATTGGTCAGTTCCCAACTGTAATGACCCAGCAACAGCTGGCAAGGTTTATTGTCTAGTCAGAAACTATGATCAATAAAACAGCTTATGCATTAAAAATGAGGTGATCAGTCACTTAACTGTGAAACCTCACTGTTCGTTCCTTTCATCTCACTTTCACTGTAACCATTTTGCTACAGGATTAATTTTTCTGTCTGCTTTCTTTTGTTCAAAATTTGGATTTTTTTTTGCCTGTATAACTTTTGTGTAGACCAGACTGACCCATGGAAAGACCCCTTCTTACTGCATTATAGTTACACACATGTATTGTTTAATTCAGCCTTGATTCTTGAGCGTGGTATTATAAAATGCAGGTTCACGTTTGCTAATTCTTGAAATACAGTTGTATAAGGAATGAATTGCCGTGTTGTAAAACCCAGAATGAGTTTTTTTTTAGAAAATGTCATTAGATCAGTTTAATTGGCCCTCAGCAGTATGGGTGGCTTGTTATGTTACCATTGATTACATTGAAAGTGCAAAAGCTTTCTCTTGCTGAGAAACTTTCAGCCCATACAATAATTTCCTTAAGTCATAGGTTCACCATCATTCATCCAGAGAACAAAAATTGTAAGACTGTTTTATGCTTCATCTGAGTCTTGGGGAGGGCAGCCTCAGACTACTGCAGTCACTCTGCTGGCCATGTTTTTAGCTACCTAAATCAATACAATACAATACAATGCAGGAACATCCCCTTCGGCCCACCAAGCCTACACCGATTCCCATTCCTTATTTAGATCCCCTTTGCATTGCCCATACTCAACACAGTGTGGAGCTGGAGGAACACAGCAGGCCAGGCAGCCAGAGGAGCAGGAAAGTTGACCACTGGCAGTGCATTCCAGGAACACTCCACCCTCTAATTTAAAACGTTTCCCTGCACTTCTCCCCTAAAGTTCCCCACTCTCACCTTGAACTGTGCCCTCTTCATAGAATTCCTACAGTGTGGAAACAGGCCCTTCGGCCCAACAAGTCCACACCGACCCTCTGAGCATCCCACCCAGACCCATCCCCAACTAATCTACACATAGCTGAACACAATGGGCAATTTAGCAGGGCCAATCCACCTAGCCTGCACATCTTTGGACTGTGGGAGGAAACTGGATCACCCAGAGGAAACCCACGCAGACACAGGGAGAATGTGCAATCTCCATACGGACAGTCGCCCAAGGTTGGGATCGAACCTGGGTCCCTGGTGCTGTGAGGCAGCAGTGCTAACCACTGAGCCACTGTTCTGTTCTTGTAGTTGACCTTTCCATCCTGGGCGAAAGCCTCTGACTATCCACCCTATCTATGCCTTTCATATTTTGTAGACCTCTATCAAGTCACCCCTTCAGCCTCCATCTTTCCTCTGCTTTGGAATTCCCTCTTTAAATCTTTTTGCTTTTCTTTGCACTTCTGAGATGCTCCTTTTAAGCCTACCTCTTCTGAGCAAAGATTTGGTCATGTGTCCTAATATGTCCTTAAGTGGCATGTTGTCATACTTTGTTCTTGTTTGAAGTGCCATGAGATATTTTACAATAGTAAGGGCACTGTATAAACACAGATTGATGGTGATGGGTGTCAACTTTTATGCTGACGGCATAGGTCATGTATCCTAGCAGGGGGGATTGAGACAAATTTTGTTCCTGTATGAATGCCACATGACTGCTGTGACACTCGGCCTACCTAGTTGATTCTTTAACAAATGTAACTATCTGACCCTACCTGTAGAACACTAACCTTGGAAGGCAGCACAATAGCATATTGATATGGTTTTATGCATTTTGGTGTTTTGTTCAAGGCAGAATTTCTCTTTCATTAGAAGCCAACGCATTGCTGAGATCAGCTATGTTAAACCAAGGAAAGTTTTCTTCATATGTGCGGCATACTGAAGTAGTGAATGGAGAAATGAAACCAAAGCAATATATAGGTATAGGGTGTTAGCTGGATAGCTGCTGAAGTGCAGCATTGTGCAATTTTACAAGTTTCTTGTCGTTGCTGTGAGTCTTTAATTGGCTTGTCACTAAGAAATAAACAGTTAACAAAGGGAAAAAACTGTAACTTACTTGGCTAATTAGTGACTTCAAAAAGTAACAGAATCAATGTCGTCTGCACTTCCAGTGGAACAATTGCGCTTTTGCTCCTAGCTTATCATAAATTCTTTGTTGGCTGTTTAGAGCATCTTGCATTTAATAATGTAAGTCAAGTTAGATTTCCAATAGAAAAATCACATTTATCTATTCATAGGGTCATCCAGCACGAAAACAGACCCATCAGTCCAACTCTTCCGTGCCGATCAGACATCCCAATCGCCAGCATTTGGTCTGTATCCCTGTAAACCCTTCCAATTCATACACGCATCCAGATGCCTTTTAAACATTGTAATTGTATCTGCCTCCTCCACTTCCTCTGGCAGTTTGTTCTTTATACATACCATCCTCTGCATGAAAAAGTTGCCCCTCAGGTCCTTTTTAAATCTTACCCCTCTCACTTTAAACCAATGCCCCCTAGCTTTGGCTTCTCCTACCCTAAGAAAAAGACTTTGGCCATTCACCCTATCCATGCAGCTCGTGATTTTATAAACCTCCATAAGATCAACTCTCAGCCTTCGACACTCCAGGGGGAAAAATAGCTCCAGCCTATTCGGCCTCTCCCCAT